ATTAAAAATAACCCGTAAATAATAAAAAAATAATCCATTAAAAATCAAGTATAAAAAACAAGCCCTGTACGTAAATACTAAAAACATTCAAGATGACCGGGCGGGGGGAGCAAGGTCAATCACCCCACAAACCACCTCCACTGGTGCGAACCCCCATCCGGCCCCAGACCTTCTGGCACAACCAGGATTTCACCCCTTTCCTGAAGAGCATGAGAGTGGGGGCAGACCGGACCTCAGGAGGAAGATTGTTCTATAGGGCGGGGGCCACAGCAGAAAAGGCTGTCAAAATTCCTTGACTGGTGGGGTCTGCAACACGCCCCTTCTGCTGGGCCGAGTGGGGTGGGTGGAAATAACCGGGGCGAGAGAGCTCCTCAGATAACCTGGTCCTGTTAAAATAAGCTTAGCATTTAAAGATAAATGCTGCACATTTTCAGGTACCTTCCCATGCATAATAAAATAGGCAAAAAAGAAGAAAAATTAGGAAAACCAAATGTATCTAGGTCATAGACTTTGGAGAGCATAGGTATAGTATTGTTTAAAAAATAGGCATGCTTCACTAACATTTCTTTTAATCCATTACACTCTTATTTCCTCAGAAAGCTTAGAATGAATTAGCTATCAGTCAACTTCCAGTCTAAACCAGCATTATGTGGATTCATTGTTCAGTCTATTCTCTGTCATTTCTACATGGTTCTGCATTTTTTTTCTTTAATCTGCAGAAAAATGTGCCTGTTAATACACGACCTTCTGTCTATTTTAAATCTCCATTTAAAATGTATACGCTGACTGGAGCTGAGATTCGGGTTGGAATATTAAGAGGAGTTAAAAACCAGTTGCTAACAATATGTGGAGTTGCAAATTTGCCTGTGAGTTGAGAATCAGACCCACATGTATTTAATGTGACAACATTCAAAACCTGAGTCAGTGAAAGGTACTTTTCACCCACCCGTTTCCTCCTCCATCTTTGGACAATGCACCAAGGAGGGTTAGAGTCTAGTGATTCAGACGCAGTGAATTGCAAGAAAACCTTCATGGTCCACCCTCCACAAAGAGGAGAAAGACCCATTTCTTGAGCCTGAGATTTGTCCAGCACCAGCACTTCCTTCCAACAGGTTTCAGCTTCTTGTCCGCCATCCAAACCTTTCCCACCTCTACATACTGGTTCTGTACCTGCCCAGCCTTGCCTTATCCAAAGGGAATGGGTCTCTCCTGCGTTCCAAAAATCCATAGTCATTTCGCTCAGCTTGTTTGTTGAATTCGCAAGAGAGAGAACTTGACAGGTGGAAAGTTCCTCCAAACACGTCAACATCTCTGGGCCCTGCATGGCTCATCTCAGCTATGGTCAGTGGCATTACAAGCTGCTGAAAGAGTAATAACCAGTGCTGCACTCCATGGAGACCGGATCCAAATTCAGTTCAGATCCAGTTCTCATTAAGTGTACCTGAGTTAATGTAGTCCTTGCCCTCAACTCAATCCCATCATAGTTTCAAGATTTTGCAGGCAGTTGGCTGGAGGTGTTTGGGGAGAGTTGTGAAGTATGATCAAGCCTCCTAACTTGGTCTCTAGGCAGCTTCCACGACCACCATTTCTCTCCCAGCCTTCTCTATTAGCACTTGTTCTTCTGAGTTCCTTTCAGATCATTTTTGGATCCAACTTCTCTGTAGGTTCCCGACAAGGTGAAGGACAGGAGGGCAGACCTCCTCTATTTTATTTGGGGAAGGAATTATTTTTGCTGTTCCTCTAACTGCATTGCAGGTCGCCACTGGTCTGTTTGGGGAAGAAGAGGAAGCTTGTTTGCATTTTAAAGGTGTTCTGAAATATATCTTCACTTCTAGGTGCTCCGGCTCTGCTTTTTCTCACTGCAGAGAATAACAAGGGAAGTGGAGTTAGGCTTTGGGGGCTAGCCTGCCAAATCCTCTGTATTTGTCTATCTCAAACCCTTCCCTTTGAAGTAAGAGACCTGGTTGCCCAGCTGCCGGTCAGTTTCACTTCTCCCATTCTACTGGACCCAATTAGCTGCATCATTATGGCAGGTCCTGGCTGCCTCCTCTCTGAGGCTATTTCTGTCTATTGTGTTCCCTTACTTCACCTTATTTTAACTTAGGAGTTGCCCATGTTGTGGGAGGAGAGGCAGACATACCAGGCAGAGCTCCAAGGTCAGGTCCTGCCCATTCCTGCTGCAAGGTCTGATCGGTGGATGTTTTCCCCATCTGTTGCAAGGAGAAGGCAGAAGATCGGTCGCATTGCCTACGGTGACCAGCACACTCACAAATCAGGACCACGCTATTCAGCAGGCAGTAGGGCAGCAAGTTTTATTCCAGCATTATTTTCTGCTGATTTAAGGAGGGGTGGATAAACTCGAGGCCTTTAGGTGCTCACCTAATCAAAGGGTTGCTCCCTGTAGGTTGCAGTTCTGTTTGGGAAGGTCCTTGGCATTTCACTGATTTATCCCTCCCAATATTGTATTTTGTTGATCTGAACATTATTAGCCAGGATCACTCTCAGTCCTGGGCAATTGCTCCCCCAGCATTTCTTCCTTATGCTTTCTAGCCTCAATTCACCTGTCTGATCATAAAGCTTGATAACAAGCTGTTGGCTGCTAAGTGAAAGCTGCTATCCAGCTAGCAGTTTTTGCTGAGCCCCTCCCCAGCAGCTGGAAAGATTAACTCTTCAAAGCCTAGATGTGAAGGTTTGTCTCCACGTAAGACGGCCACTTCTGGCCAGCTTTGAAAACACCTCTGCTCCTTTAGTGTTAGATTCCCAAATCTGCTCTGATCAACTACAGCCTATCCTTGACCTGTTCCCATTGATTTACTTTTTTTTTTTCTCCCTCTATCATATTCCCCTCCCTTCTCTTTCTTCTCTTTCTCCTTGGTGGAAAGTCAGATTTTAAGATGCAGGAAACAGGGACTTGTCCATCGCATGTCTTAGATCAAGTGATCTGGTGACCTCCAGATGTTTGAGACTATGATTCCCACACTCTTGGCTGTGCTGATTGGAGGTGAAGCTAGTTGACATCCAGAATAGCATCGTGGTTCATCCAGAGGCAAATAAAGCTGTTGTAACTCATCTGGCTGCTAAAACTGCGAGACACTAGGGAAGCTACAGCCTGTGAGAATGGGAGTGGGCAGGGTAAGAAACACCTCTGCCACTAAAACCTGTGCTTTGGTGCCAAAACCGAACTCCAAACACATCAACCCCATGTTCGCCTAGTGTGTTGTGTGGACCTACAACCTGGGGTCGAATCTGTCATTGCGCTCTCAGAAAACTAGGGTCAAATTTGAGAAACGGTCGGTCAGTTAACCATAGGTAAAGGTGTCCTGTGAACACCGCCAGTAACTGCACAATCACCGCGTCCCACTCTTGAGAACTTTATCAAAATCGCTTCTTTTTGGAAACCAGTTTCCAAGGCAAATCCTCTTTTCACCCTGCCAAATGAAAATGGGTCGGGAAAAATGCCAGATAACGTTTTTGGCAGGGCGCTCGGATGCCCGTAGTAGGCGGAGGACAGGTTCCCTTCCTATCTGTGGCCTGTTTTTTTAAAGAGAGGCAACTGCTTGAAACTTAATTTTTTAACAGTTGGGTTGCTGTTGCCTGGGGTGGGGGGGGGAAGGGAGGGGTCAGTATCCCTTGCTAAATAGCCCCGATTAAGCCTGAACCTGGGATCTTCCCTTTGGTCCCCCTGCATTGGCAGGAGCAGATGGCCTCTTGAATGCATCTCCGAGACGGCACCGTTTCCCCTGTTCCTTTGTTCCCCATTCTTCAGAGCTGAATAGAGCCCTGCCAGAGGAAAAGC